GCCTGTGGGCCATTTTCCTCCTCCTCATTCTTGATCTTACAATGAGTCGTCCGTCGTCTCTATGAATAGAGGGAAAGAAGGACTGCTGCTTGTGTATGTCGGTAGCATAACCTGCACATGCTCTGACGCAAGATACGCAAGCACACCATTTAACATACGCTAAACTGCTAAACATGAATCAAGCTAGACCAGCAACAAGCCGCGCAGCATGTCACACGTAAGGCATGAGGAGTAGCAGGTGTAATGCACAATGCGTGAGTTATCGCCTGGAACGCCTCTGAGACCGATGTGGTCAAACACTGCCTGAAGCACAGCTTTTCACCTAAGCATCGACCGTGCCCGTCAAGGACGACAGCACCACAGACCATGTCCCTAATGATTAATGGGCACGGTCGAGGCTCAGATGTGAAGCTGCACTTCCCGCAGTGGTGCTTCTCCTGTACAGTAAGCCCAGCAATGCCGTCCATAGCTAGGCGTCTTCACTTCTCATCCCGAGTGGCTGTGCCTACTAAGCATGCCACAGGTGCGAGTGCTCACCTGGCAATTTGTCTTTCATGGCTTATGCACGAGACGCTTTCCTACAAAAAGGAATCTTGACCCAGCGTTTGCCGTCAAGACTAGGCTAGCACATCCAAAACAGCCGCAGCACTGTAACATGCTGTGCGTCGTATCTTCGGCTTGCTTTGCCTGCATCCAGAAGCTGAGGAGCCGGCATGCTGCCACTGGGTGCTGCTGGTTTCGGCTTGTGGTGGTGGCAGGCTCATCAGCCAGAGCTTGCAGCAGCTGCGTGTACTCGAGTACGGAAGGCGATAGGCGGCTGGCACACATCAAACGAAACCTCAATCGCTGCGAGCGCGCATCAAGAAAACACACCGTCTGTGCTGACTAAACCTCGGCCTTATGAAAAATGTTGCCGATGGCTTCTGGGAGACCATCTTGTAGCTTTCCTCTGGCGCATTCCTAATGGCATTAAAAGGCAGGACCGGAGGAGGAGGCCAAACACCGCGAGGTCTGGTTGAACCTGCAGCAGCAGGCCGACTCTTGTCCAAATGGCAAACGGAAACACAGAGGCCTCGTGCATCATCGAAGCAAAGTGGCTCTCTGCACCTGCAGGGCATGCCGGGCTAAAAGCAGCCGCGTCTGAAACGAACGTGTGCCCGCCGTCTCAAGCGTACAGACTTGAGTCTAAGGCTGGCACAGGCTAAGCGACAGGGAAGGGAGAGGGAGGGAGAGGGAGGGCAAGAGGGAGGAAGGGAGCGAGAGGGAGAGGAGGGAGAGGGAAGCGAAGGGAAGAGAAGGGAGGAAGGGAGCGAGAGGGAGAGGGAGGGAGAGGGAGGTAGAGGGAGGGAGAGGGAGGGAGAGGGAAGCGAAGGGAAGGGAAGGGAGGAAGGGAGGGAGAGGGACGGAGGAGGGAGGGGAGCACTTCCCAACAGTCCCGCTGGGCCAACTGGGCCTCCGACGCTCCACATCACCTGCGACCACGCACGCCTTGATGACAGCCGTGTAAGTGAAGCGGTCTGGCTGCAGCCCCAGCATCCTCGGATGTTGATTTATATACTGATCGGCACAAGGTACGGCCAAGTACTGGATCATCCAAAAAGCATCAAAACATACCATGAAAAATTATGACGGCTGTGAGCTTTTGCCAGTCGCGTGCATCAGCTTAGTGTGCTGCCAAATCTGCTTCGCACCCACCCTGTACACCCGGGCCATCCTGGGCCTCCACCCAACCCTGCACTGCCCAAACTTCTGAGTTTGTTGTCGCCGTTCCTGTTGCAGCATGCAGCCGATCCTGTCGACATGTGTGGGGAAACAGCACAGCATCCACAATCGCAAGACTAAGTATGCGCACATCCACGTAGCCGTGAGCCCCAGCCCTTGTCCAGCAGGATGTATGACTGAGCTCCTGGCCTGAATTGCAACAAAACCTGCTCCGCACCGGAAACGTCAGCTGCTTCAGCTGCTGCATCTGCGAGGATGTTCATGACGATGCCAGCATCTTCTTGCGAGGGTTCTGGCATCTGCTTCCTTGCGCAAGGGTGGCTGCTGGATCTCTGCTCCGCCCGCAGAAGCGTTGCATAGGTCACCTCAGTTTAGCTTCGGCTGACGTTCAGATGGTACAGTGCCCTTCCTCTGCTTCTGCTGGATTTGAAACGAAGAGAAGCAAGGCTAGCTTCGGCTGAAACTCCGCATCCGGCTGGATCTTGCAAGCAGACATTGCTCTCAACGCCTTTCGTGCCGAGTGCACTTCTCCAGAACCCGTGCTTGCAGCGATCAAGGTCCGCCAGGACACGACGGAGGGCTGCCATCCCTGGACTGTGGACTTTGAGGTGACGAAGGCTGTTTGTTGGGCTGTTACGCACACCTGCAACCATGTGGTTCCAAACACCAACCGTTCAAGTCCCCACACGCTGCAAGAAAGCAGCGTGCTGCATACAGCTGCCATTCTGATTCAAAGCCAGAGGTCACGCACTTGTGTGAACATCCGTGAGCTTTCGAGACTCAAGCGAACAAAACGACGGGCTTCGGCAGTCTAGGTCTAGGTGCGTGTCCAAACTAACTCAGTTGCGAAAACCTCCTGTGCAATACGGCGATCATTGCACATCGGCCCAGACAAAGAAACCGCAGTCAATGGTCACAGAGCTTGGAGTTAGGAATGGCATAGTCGGATTTGCGCTGTGTGTGTGAGAGAAGTTGTTCAATTGTTGATGGTGTTTCCTCGGTTGCTGTTTTTCGTTGGTGTAGATTGGCCCCCCCCCTCAAGACTTCATGGCGACAGGTGTCAGGTAAACATGTCAGATTATGGATGCAGTGAAAGCCCTGACACCCTGTCGGACTCTTGGACGCAGCAGCCCCTCACTTACCCGAAGATACGAACCTTACATCTGACAGAGGCACAAAGCCAGCAAACGGAACGGATGTTCACAACTGCAACAGGTGCGCAGAAGTGCGGATACCCAGCAGGAACAAAAGAAGAGAAGACATCAATCCTGGACTTACGAGTTCCGTACCGCTGCTGCAAAGCCAAGTCCGACTCCTCTTGGTAGCAAGCGTTCGTTGAGGGTGCTTTGCCGTGCTTTGCTAGCCGTGGACAGTGTCACGAGATTGTGTTGAGCTCTTCGCTCCCCAAATTCCCAAATCCCTTGCAGCCTCAGCGACGAGCTCGCGGAAGAACCGCTCGGCAGCTTGGACGTCTTGGTGCTTGGCGGCAACGTCCAGGAGCGCCTCAGAGTAGCAAACGGCTTCTTGAAATTAGCCACATGCCGAGGGCACGATTTGTGACACATGTGGGGGATGTGCAGAAGAGACACGTTGTAAGTTTCTGCTCCTGGCGCCACCGTGGCCGACTTCATAATTCCGAGCCATTCGCCAGCTGCAGTAATTCCAGACTCCGCCCGTGCGGTCGCACTGATTATGGTGTTGAAAGTAATGGCATCCGGACGGATGCCAGAACTCTGCATTGTATTGTACATGGCCCTGGCACAGCAGATTCGGCATCAAACGCAACACAGCTCTCAGCAAAAATTGCCTTACACAGGCGGGATGCGTGCAGGTGTGAAGGTCGCCTTTCTTGGCTGCAGCGCTGAGGACGGAGTTGTAAGAAACCAGGTTTGGCTGCAATCTCCTTTCCCCCATGTGCCACAACCAACTCTTCGCTGAATCCAGATCATGTCCATTCGCCGCGGCAGAGATTAGTTCGTTATAGTTTAATAGACGTGGCTCGAAGCTGCAGTGCAGCATTTCCTTCAGCCAAATCGCGGCCTGCTGCGGCTGCGCGCTTTTCGCGGCGGCCTCTATGAGCTTCCCAAACGTCTTGTGGTTCGGTTCAACTCGTATACCTCAGCCGTGCGGCCACACTGCATGGCTTTAGCAGGCGAGGCATCACGACAAGGTCAGGAATGGCGCGATCACTTCTCAAAGAACATCGGGAAAGCCAACAAGGAGCACAGGAGAGGAAGGACAGGACCCCGCAAGAAAAAAACATGCTAACAGTTCAACAACTGCCGAGGCATCACGAACATAAATCCTAAAGAAATAAGCTATCAGAAGGCAACTTAGTCCCCGACTGAGCATTGATTGATACAACTGCTCTGCCGCCTGGCTGTCTCCTGCATTTGCGCAGGCCTTCAACATAGTATTCCACAGCACTCTCCTGCAACTGGTGGTCGGGTCTCTAGGCTTTTCAGTGGAATGTTCGTACCCGCGCCTGTCCTGCTCGACGGCTTCCACGAGTAGCTTACATCCTCCAGCTGTCGAAACACTGCCTCTGCCTCCGTAACTTCTCCTTGGGTCGCCAGCTCGTTGAGCTTTGCCAAATCCGAAGTACCATGAAGCTTCGCCTCCCTGCTTAGCAGACGCAGCAAAGGCGGCTTCTTTAACACTTCATGCCTCAAATACATCGTCGGAATCGTGCCCGGATCGCATGACCGTAGCGGCTATCAGTGACTGGAGCTGGAACCTTGACTTCCTGCAGAGGTCGACATCCACATCAGTCTTGCTGGAACTGCCACATGGCGCTTTCCTGGATGTGCCGGCATCGCAAACAAGCAGCCACTGAGCAGTTTCTGTCGGGTATGCTTGCACTAAACTGATGCATAACCGACACACCGGCTGCGGCTACTCTGACTCTTGAGTGAAAAACAGATGAAGCCGGGGCGATACCGTGGCATGAGAAGTCGGACCAGCAGTGTGCCATATCTTTTGGCGATCAGCCAACGCAGTCTGCCCGAAGCCTCCCCATTGCCAGCTTTGCACCTACTTCACCTGACCGCTCAGCGCAAGACGGCTGATCAGGGTCCGAGATGGTATGACAAGAAACTTGTGCGCGGCACCTTCTTGTTGGTCAAGACGCGAACCACCAAGGCCGCTGGAGAGCCCTTGGGTCTTAGCGTGTCATCGCGGCGAAGAACTTGCACCTGCAGAATGACTGTTCCGTACGAGTCTGCAGACAGTTATCTTGTCGAAGACCCGCCTGTGTGCTGCCATTGCCGTTGATCTGAAGCACCTCTGCACGGACAAGGTCCCCTCGAACCATTTGCCTCGTCCGCAGATTCTGGCATAACGTGCACGCTCACTCCACATGCAAGCCCATCTTCGCGCATGCTACAACGAGTGCCGGCCGAGTCTCTCATTCTTCAAAGCCGCATAGACCTTCAACTGCTTCCCACGGCTAGTTCAGAGCAAGGCAGCAGTCCAGCCTCCTCTGCTGTCGAGAGCGGCCGAAGCATTAGCATCGTCGCAAGCTTGGGCTTCGTCTGGCTCGGCTTCGGGTACCCCGGGTATCCACCCGTTGGTGAAGAGCCAGGCCTGTTCGCACACGTTGGATCGCACGGTGCTGGACCAACATCGCCCCTACCTTGGCAGACTCTCCAATGTGGAGAAGTCGGCCACGGGGCAGCAAAATATGGGCTTTCGCCGGTAGACTGCTTGCGACAGCACCTCCAAAATTCAACTCCAACTCGCGCGCCCACTCTTTCCACTTTCTGCCCGTCCAAGGATCCGTTGCCTTTAAGACACCCGTAGAGCCGTACTCATCCAGCACTTTCTGGCGCAGGAGCTTAACTTGCTCCTCCACCTCGGGAAAATCGCCCAGCACCGACACAGAGCCACCACCATCCTCGTAGGCCAGCGTGCCTGCCACAAACCGCGACGATTGCACGAGCAGGTGTAGGCACCAGATTCACAAGCTCGTTTCGGTATGTGCGAAGGTTTCAGAAATCTACTCGCCCCTGCCCCTCCCCTCGAAAGGCAGGACGTCGCCTTTGCGCCTCTGTTGCCAGAGCCACAACTCGCTCCGAGCGGAGACTGGCAAGCAGTCGCCCAAGGCCGCCTCGGCGCGAGGCGTCTCGCGGCCAGGCCGCAGGGCAAAGCAAAGCAGAGTGGAAAGACGAAGCATCGGAAGCTCTGGGAAGCTCCGCTCCTCTCTCCGCAAGACGCGAAAAGATGCAGGCGCCTGCACTCGGGAAATGTGCTTGGCTGCTTCCGGCGTGTCCGCCTGAAGCAGGCTTGGCTTGACCGACTCCGCATGTCTCGTTCAGTATAACACTGCAGAGTCTGCAGCAATCATCGCCTTATTCAGGGCCACGACGATGGGGAAGCGGACTCTCAAGAAGCATGCCACCAGCAAGTGCAGATCGAACTCGCTCCATTTCAAGACGTCCTGCATCGAATACTGGGAATCGGGGGCTGCTTGTCAAGACCAGGGGCAGTGCTTCGACTTCTTGGTCGAAGAAAAACTGCCAGAGTTCACTGTGTCGTCTCCTCCGCTAAGCGCGGCAAGCTGTGCCCAGTTGCTTCGTAAACTTGAGCAGCCAATTGCTGAGAAGCTCGATAGCCTCCGTGAGCCGACTGCGTAAGCACCCCCGACAGCATCACTTCTCAAAAAGTATCCTAGGCACGGCAAGTCGAACAAAGGCTGCAGCCTGTAAACAACGCAAACAGCCGCTCTGCAGGAAGATCTCGCAAGGAAGAGTTCAGCTTGGCCAGTTTCGCTTTTCTTCGCACAGTATCCCACTTTGCCCGCACATTGCCTCAAGCTCGCAGTCCCGTACATGGGATCTGCGCATGGACGCTTTGCTGAACTGTTGCAACTCACGTTCAGGAAAGCTTAACTTCAAAACCTACCACATCAACAGAGAAACTTCTGCAGCCGTCATCCCCCCTTCCTCAAATGGAACATTCTGCCAATGCATAGTGGCCGACGAGTTGCAAAAGATCCACAAATGAATTTCTCTACGCACCCAGCCAATTTCCTCCAGTGGATCCGACGAGGCCGTCTTTCCCTTAGGGTGCCAGAAGCGAGCCTCTACCAAGCGAGTTCCGGCTATGATCTACAGGGACCTGCACGTCTCATTTGTCGGAAACCGGAAATCGAACCACTGAAGTTGCAGACGCTGCTCAGTTTCAATCCCGAAGAAACACTTCTCCGACACATCACCGCCATCCGAAAAATCGTCATGCAGTTCAGTACCAGTGGACTGTCCTAGTGACATCCATGTGCCACAGTACGCCGCGGATGTGCAACACGAACGGGGACTATATAACACCAGCCCGACAAGATCAGCTTTGCGCTTCCTGCCTGTGCGATGTCAACGGCAAACAACAAACCAACAAAGAACGAAGTTATTTCACCAACGGTCTGCCAGCCCGTGTACCCAGACTTGCTCCAGGCAGGACTCTGTGGAGGACCCTTGGTCGACACCTTCAGCATCGCTTCTTCCACTAGCATCGACTACGTGGATCAAGCTGTCAGCATCGCAGAGATCATTCAGAAAGGCATTTCCACGGCCGCGACCCATGTAAGCACCTCACACGTCAACGAGCTACGCTGGTACCGAATATGAAGGCTACCACTTCGGTTTCCAAAACGGCTAGCCTGGAACAAGCCCGGCAACATCCTTCACCCAGAGCGGGAAGCGACGCTCGCTGTTATGTGATCTTCCGTATTCAGGTTCGCACTCGTCCTTGAAAGCAACTCCAAGTCTATGCTGCATTGGCCCGTTTATATGCGAAATCAAAGGCTGTGAGCGGGAGTCTCCTGGCAGCACAGCTCCACGGAAGGACACGGGGCCGCAAACCAACCCGCGGCAATGTTAGGGTCGATGGTAGTGAAGGGGTGCCTGCAGCGCGCAACGCAGAGGCAGAAGCCCGAAGGGAGATCCCCCGAACAACAAACTCAGCCGGATGTTTGAGCAGGATGCGGAGCCATCGCTGCCTCCTTGCCTGCCCCTTCCGGATGTGTGGCAGCATTGAACAGTGTGGACTTGCCAGCTGAAGGCTTTCCGACCAGACCAATGATGAATTCCCAAGACTTCCCATAACTGCCAGCTCCGCACTGTCGAGCCCACGACTTCTCATCGCCACCGTCAGGCAGCAAGCTGGCAGCTTTCTTCTCGGCCTCTGCCAACATGGTCTCGTCGACCTCGGTCTCATCACGAAGCCACCAAGCATCACACGCGTCTTCGGTCTCTTCAGCCTCTGCCTCCTCCAGACTCCTCGTGCTACTTGTGGGGTGTGTACGTCCACTGATCTCTGCGTCGTGATCCGAGATCCACTCCTGCGCCGCCTGAACCATCGCCATCACACTGGGAAAGCCCAGCGGCTCCCGCGATGCCTCCACCCTTTCTAAGAGCTCTCGGGCGTGAGCTTGCAGTCCGAGGTCGCGGGTTTCAAGCTCGCAGAGGCACGAAGCCTTGTGCGGATAGCTAGGCGGAAAAAGAAACCGAAGGGCAGCAAAGCTCTCCCCATATTGAAGGCGGACGGCCAGCCGCACTGGCCACACTGGCTTGAGCAAGCACAGCTCGTCCTCCCCGAACATGGCAAAAAGAGCCTCTATCTCATCCTTCTGTTCCTGGTTCACCTTGGGTTCCTCTTCCAGGTCTGCAGCACTGGCTCTGCCGAGCATGTGGCGTGATTCCTTCAAGCGTGCCTCAAGAAACGCAGCCAGGCTCCGAATGTCCTCCGCTCGCTGTGGCACACAGTGCCCGCCATCGTGTTCGATCACCTCAGCATCGTCGAAAGCCTTCGCACAGCACAGGCTGTCGCTCAGCGGCACCACTGTGTCTTGCGCCGATGCGAAGTGTAGGGACTTCACTTTCAGTGCTGGCACCGGAAACGCAGGAGCTGGTGCACCCGAGAGGATAGCGAAGGTAAGCTCCCCGAAGAGAGGCCTCAATGGGCGAGAAACACGAGAACCTAGCGCGAATCGCTGTTGGCTTTGCACTGGGCTTCAAAGCACTGTTTCGGACTGCTTACGAAGTAGATTCTGAACTCAGACCATCCGCGCTGCATCGATCTCCTTAGTCCACATAGAGCAAGTGCTGTACCCCCGAAACCGTACATACATCGTGGATCCGGCAGACGTCCAAGGCTTCATGATTGCTTCAGGCACGGTTCGGGAAGAGTGTGGAGATGCTCGGCCCACTGGCAGCAAAGCACTGCAGCTGCTGCCCCCTCGGAGAAGCCCAAGACGCCATCGAATGGGCCAAGCTCTGCCCAAGATCTCGACAAGACCTTCCCCGAATGGGCCCCCGAGGCAACTCGCTGAAGATTTCGTCATCCGAGCCTCGCGCACCGCAGCTGCAGCACTGTCCGATCTATCAGCATCCGGCCACCAAGCTCTCCTGACAGCAGCCCCCTGCCCCAGGCCGGGGTCAACACGAAATCTCCTAGCGACCGTATAGCAGCATAGCAATTCGAGATACTTCGAGCTTCTAGCCGACGGCAGCTCTGTAGGCCCTGATCTCTTCGAAAATGTATCGCCGAACAAACCTCTTGCAGATCAGAATCGTGTTAAGGCGCTCCCCGTGCTGCAAAGGTAGCTCCAGCGGAGCGTCCACAAACCTGAGGCAGCATGTCTCGGTGCGACTCCCAGGAGCTAGCGTAGGCGCGGTCTTCGTTGCAGACTGGGGACACGAAGTCAGCAAAGCTTTCGGACTTGCCCACTACCCTCTCGAGCTTCCTCTCGAAGGTCGACCCAGTCTGGCAGCGGCCATGTAGACAAAGTATGCGCAGCTTGGGCGTTGAGGCCACATACGGCTCCATGGCTCCAATGGCTCCATGCTCCGCACACACACTTACATACCTGCATGCCCTACTCAGCCTACATCACCTAGCCTCCAAACTGCAGGGAAGATGCCGAAGCAAGGCCTCCAAAGAGAGGACTAGGTCATGAGACTGACTCAGCTAAACTCTCTCCCTATGACTCATTGATCCTGGGAGCTCGTTCCACGTGGATAGTGCAAAGGACGGCATACGGGGGAACTTTGAAGGGGCAGGCCAGCTGTGGAGAGGACAGAAATGGACAGAAGCGAGCTGAGTGTTTTGCCGTGAGAAACAGGGCGTGCACTCTGAGGTGAGACGAAAGGGTGAACGTGGGCTCGGGGAGCGATCCCAGTCTCCCAAAATATCGGCCTCGGTGACCTCGTAGCCAGGGCTTCTTGGACCAGGGGATCTGGAACCATCCGGGCTGCGCGAATGCTGCATGGAGACGTCTGGTCGGCCACGCTCACTGAGTGGTGGACTGGGACCCAGCGGTGGATTCCGTGCTTGTTGCTCCCGCAGGGGAGACTCAGGACGGTCGAACTCAAGCAGTCTTGCAGAAAGGGACCTCGCCGGAGATCTGACTGGTCTAGGCCCAGGCACCCTCGGTGACCGCGGGTTTGCCTCACTGATGGAAGATGGAAGATCCTGGAGGTCCACGGGACACTCACGCATCTCGAGCGCAAACTGGTCTTGCATGGTGGAGAGGTAGTGTCTCAGATCGAGGGTCAAATCCTCCCGCTGCTGCCTTGCCCTTTGCAACTGGAGATTGAGCTGACGAATCTGCTTGCTTAGAGAAGCCTGCACGGCATCTTTCTTGGCAAGTTGTGATGACAGGTCGTTGACTTCACGCCGCAGCGCCTGGATTTCGGACTCTCGGTCCTGAAACTGCTGCCTTGCAGTTGCCTCCTGGCGTTTTGCTGTTGTGAGGGCAGCCTGCCTTTCCAGATCACTTGCATTGTAGCTGGCATCGCGCTCCTTGAGCTTTCGAGCTGTAGCTCGCGCTGCAGCGAGTTGTTCGCTCAAGGCTTTCTCCCTCTCACGCAGCCTTCGCACTTCTTGCTCCTCGCTTAGGAGAGCTTTTGCCAGGCGCTGCTGCTCGTGTAGTGGAAGAGAGGGCACGGCGGAGGCATCTTTGGCGTCTTGCCGCTCTTTACCCAGGCTTTCTTGCTGCGACTGTAGCTCCTCCACATGCTGCAAGAGCTTCCTGTACTCCACATCGGTGCGCCAAATGGTCGCTACTGCATTCATGGCTGCTTCCGCCACACGAACAGCCGCAACTGGCGCATCAGCTAAGATCGCCGGTGGCATTGGCCACGGCCGATTGGAGGCCACGGCTTGGGTAAGCTCTTCTGACCACATTTCCCGGCCAAGGCAGAAAAGTTCTTCAACATCTGCTGCTTCTGCTTCCGCGATGCTTTGGACGCAGTCGTTGCTGCGTCCTTGATTGTGGACCTGCCAAATGCCTTGGCCTGACACATTCGGTGGCATCTGACAGTATTGGCACACAAAGGCCTTCGATGGCGTGGTGGATTGGCAGCACTAGGCTTTGTGACACACAGCCGCCATGGTGGACGACACAACGTCCGGATGATGGCCGGGACATGCAATGACACCTATTAATGCCTTACCATGCTGCGAAATTTGTGTCCACGTCAAACCAGACTCATGCAAGGGCATGCCTCTCGTCTTCATGCCTGTGGGAACCCTTCAGTCTCGAAACGAGCATGAACCACAATGGCTACAAACGTGGGTCATAAATCTTATATCCACACAAGCTGCCCAAGCCGTCGACTGTGTTCTATGGTGCGCAGGTTTCTGGGCGATGACTTTAGATGATGCATTGCGCATCTTTTGTTGCGGTGGTGAGCTATGCCTGTGCAGAGCTGCACTAACGTGGTGGTGAAACTGTCGGGGCGAGTGCAGTTGGCTATCTTTGAGTCGTTAAGCCAACAGCCATCTCAGCATCCTGCTGTGTATGCGGATCATCAGAAGCTTTCTGCAGCCTTCGCTTGTGCAACCTGGACAGCATTTCTTGAAAAGCTCCACATTACATCGCTTCGACTGGTGTTGGGATCGCGACTTCGATCTTTCATGCTTCTCCTTGACCTCCTCTGACGCAAAGAAGCGATTGCCTGGGTTGGCTGTTGGCATGGTCGATGCTGGCCGTGTGTACACGAGCATGAAGGGACGGCTCCACAGAAACTTAGAGACAGGCAAGCTATGCAGTAGAACTGTCCCATACCAGGCCTTAGCACCAAGCGCTGAAACAAGCGCTTCGGTTTCCACTCTGCAGCTCGAGGCTCGAGGCCAGGAGTTTGGCACAGCACACATTCAGATTCGTTTGTGTCTGGAGCCTGGAGGCTTGCGCCACTCAAGCATGCTCGGCGACAAGCAAGTCTTCATCGCGTGGAAGTGTGCCGGCTTGAAACTTCTGCGGAGTCTGCCAGCATTCAGCAGCAAATTCAACGAACGTATGCAATGTAGTCACGAAAGACCTGCAATACACGGCCTTCAGGTCTTCATGTACCTGATCAATGTCCTTGTTACGGCGCTTTGCTGCGATGACGGACGGCCTGATGCAGCAAGACGTGGCGTACAAGATCGTACAAGTTGCACTGCGCCCGACTGCGTTTAGCATCACGAAACACCAATCACTCTTGACTTGCCTGGTCTTCTTGTTCTGATTCTTGTGCTTCCGGCCAGTGTGCTTGTTGCCCCGCATGAGGACTCCTTGAAATCCACAATCAAGGTCAGTAAAGAATACGCTTGTGGAGCGCTTGCAGCTCAAGTTCCAGCATGATATGACAATCACGAAACAACCACTTGGGACACAGCCCGTGCGCTCCCCACTGGGGTTCAGGCACGGCAAGCCAGTCTGGCGTTACGCTTGGGACTCCACTGAAGCCCAAAACCAACGTAATGAAGAGAGCATCTTCAAAAGACCCCAATAGGATCACCAAGCTTACGGACGGAACCCAACGCCTCAACAAAAACCCTTTGCTAACTGAAACATCTCGAAGATCTGAGCGAGGGCTGCGCTGCTTTGTGCTGCACACTTCCTTCCAACGTCGCAGCCGTTCTGGACTCATTGTGCTTGCATTGAGCAAGTCAATTTCATCCATAGGTAATTTTGGGATTTTGTTCGCCTGCTTTGAAGCGCTACTCGATGCTACATTCCCGGGCTATTGCCCAGCAATTAATTTGGCATGCAGCCGCAGAGGGCCATTTCGGTGTCTTCCCCATCCACGGTCACGTAGCCACCGGCTCGGCTGAGCGAGGCAGGCGTCACTTCCGGTGCTGACTTCTTCCTGGTCACACGGCAGGCACAAGGAAACTGAGCTCACATTTCTATTCTGTCGCTTCGCCATTGCCGCGCCTGTGCGGGACCCAAATGTGGACCTCAAGCCACAGGCCTGCCTCCAACACCGATAGGACAATGAAGACGGCCGTAAAACAGCCTTGTGGTTTTGATGCAGCTTCAATTTCGGTACAAGCTTTCGAAACCGCTCCGAGCACTTGCCCGATTCGTCATGCAGCCAATTCACTGCTACGCTTGGCCGCTTCCTTGAACTCGTCCGATATTATGGCGCCATCAGATGTGAAAAGGTGACAGGATTCCAGCCCCTGCACAATCTATCATTCGCTTTTCAGCACATTCAAGGCTGGTCTAGCTTCTGCAACCAGACCACAGGACTGTCATGAAGTGGTGCCTTCAAGGCGAAGTCGAAGCTGAAGTATGAAACAGTCAGCATTGGAATGGAACACATGAGCACCATGAAGAACCATCCCAGCCAGAAGACGCAGGTCATGAATTTGGGACAGCTATAGCACACAGAATTGGACCACGTCCAAAACTTGTCCATTTCGTTCAGGATGCAAACCACGCAGTGCACAATCACGACGCATGCCTAAGACCACGTCTGCTGCATTTTCTGTAGCTGCAAGCAGGTAGAGTCGCCAAGTACAATTCGCGCCAGGGCTCGAATCCGATTTCGGGGACATGCCTCGGGAGCAAATGTTTGTCTGGGGGAGAAAGGTTCAGCGCCCTAAGGTCTCGGCGACAGGAGGATATGACCTTTTCGCCACACGATGAGGAACATGGTCCCGCGCACTGCCTTGTCATCGGAATGTCTTCCCTCTTGTCCACACGGTCCAGTCGGACGCTAGACGCCCGTACCCGTTACCGTGTGCCTATGCAAGTTTTGGAACGCATAGCATAGTCCTCTGCCTCCTACTGACAGGCCAGCGTGCCTGCAGCGCCAGGCAGAGCAAAATCGACATCCTGAGCAATTTCCACATTGACTCGGCGGGAAGTCGCAAGATGGAACGACAATCTCACTGACCCTTGCTCCTTGCTAGTCAATGCTAGCCAGCACGGATCACATGAAAAATCCTTTCACGGCCCAGCATCGTTTTGACTCCAAGGCCCTCCAGAGTCTTGTCACAGCGAGATCGCGTTGACGGCAGTCCTACAGCATACACAACATGAGCCGGATGAAATGCCCCGTGACTGGACCTTCGAAGTCTTAGGCCCTGAGGCACCGACCGAAGCAGTGACTGGCAATCTCATGAGTATTGCTGATGATGTACTTTACCACCAGGACCGCGAGCAGCAGATGATTGATTCTATCAAACTTTATCTTCCGGTCATGCGCGATTGTCTCGTCTTTTTGCTTGCAAATGGAAGACAACGATTCAGACTGCGTCAATGAAGAGCTGCCAGAAGCTCTGGCGCAGCCCGCCTCTTGCACCTTTCCAAAGCGTGATCTGCAACTCGCAGACAGGCGCAAGCAAGCAACTTCTGAACCTCGTCGGCTACGCCTGCAGTTGTAGACGGTTTCGTACGCTGTGCATTAAGGCGAGAAAGAAAAGCCAGTGCAAGAACTGGGCTGAAAGTTTTCATGTCTCCATGTAGATGGGACCTCGTTGACTGTGCTCTCGAAGATCACCATGCCCAAGTACTTGTCCTGCAGCAATCGTGGGCCGATCGCCAACCCTGCCTCTGAAAGACGCACACTACGCAAACGCACAGGCACACGAATCCGGAGCTTCGCGTACGCACGCAGTAACAGAGACCGGTGGATATCGGCACTAGTAGAGCCGACAAAGCAAAGGCTGCACCGCTAGTCGAGAGAGATGCCAGCAGTGCTGCCATGACATGAAGCATTCCTTTCAACTTGGTGCACGGCCAGATACTTCGGCTTGCCGAAGATGAGGTTGGAATGAAGACAAGGTGACCGAACCACGTCGTAGTCTATGTCGCGATACATGCCCTGTGCCTGCCTGCAGGGACGTAACTTGCGAAACACAAAAACAAGCGCTTCCCCCTCTTCTGGCTCTCATGCAGGAAACTCCTCGACATCTTCTTGAGGAAGGACTTCACTTTCTCCATTCCACTCCATACACCTTCCTTGCATAATTATGAGCGTTTGCAGTCTCAAGTCTAGCAGTCGCGGTGTGCACTACATCGCGGCAGGGTACCAAAAAACACTTTGACACGCGAACTTCGGCGCTGAACGGCTGTACGCGGTCTCCATGCAGCGCTGGCTGTCAATTGAGCAGGGCATCGAAACCTGGAATCACTTCAGAGATCTTCTCGACTGCTTTCGGATTAGTCGCATGGCCGGTCTGGCTGGTCTGGAACTCCTGGCTCGTCGACCTCTCGCGCACTACATCAAACTGCTGACAAAATTCAATCTCTCCGTTGAGGAACCGGCGCTTTCATTGCTTTTGAAATGGAATGGGGAGGCCAATAGGTCACGTTACCGCCCTTCACCGGATGCATGCACAGGTACTCCAGCTCTGACGAGGGATCCTTTCCCAGCGTCTCCTCCCATCTCTCTGACAACTGATCCACGCTAGAGCAGTTTCGGAATACCACAGAACGAACGACTCCGAGAAAGGGAGTCGTCATGACCTTCGCTCTTTGGATCCAACAAGCAAGCCGCTCAACGAAACAATTCAATACAAAGCCGTGGCCCCGACTCCGCACAGAACAACGGCTGAGGGTTGCACGGCATGCTCCGTAATGTTATGGAAGATGCCATCGTCTGCTTGCCGAAGCCACTCAGCTTGCATTATCAATGCTTCTTGTGTCGTCCACCAGATAACCACCCTGCTGCAGCAGGACTTCCGTAGCAACAATGGTTCGATTAAGTGTTGATGCGGCTGAGGACCCTGCCCCTGCAATGCTAGCACCAAATAGTATGCCTCATGACAATGGTCCACCGTCCCACTTGTGGACAGTATCCCTATGTTGAGGGCTCCTTGTGCAAACAAGCCGCAAATCTCGCAATGCCACTGCAGTCTGGACAGTCTGGCATGGCTCCTGACATCAAGATTTCCCGCGGGGCTCGGATGCTGGATAGGTAGAGCTGAGTACAGATTGCCGGGTGTTCTATGCACGGTCCCTCAGCGCAATAAAATGCAAGCCCCGTGGCCCAACCTACACCCCTGCACGCCTGTGCCGAGAAATACCAACCGCCCAAACGGCATGCCAACCAAGGTACACAACTTACCGCACCAACTACTGGTTCTCAGATCCTCACTATGGCCTGGTGGGCCGCGCCGCGCGGATTTCAGAAGCCGCCATGTGTCTTGCGCCAAGTGCTGCAGGGAACATTGAGCTGGTTTTTACACAGGAGCGACCAAGTGGAGTTCGTCCGGATGCAAAAGTCTGTACGCGCATTTCTGCACAACTTGCTCTGGGTCAGTGAGCACATGGACCATCGGCGTTTCACATATGCGTGCCATCGGCAAGTCTTTGGCCGGAATGCCAGCGCATTGCTCCACCGTTTCAGCACGCTCAAAAACACGGCTCCAACGCAACAGGTCTTCTGCCGCAGTGGAAACTCAAGCTAAGCCAGCCTTCCCTGCTGATTCGACATACGATTGAACAATCACTCCTCCATGAGCAAGGCCGTTACCTGAAGATCGCATCCACACCCAGCCAGGTACTGCCAAAGAAGGTCTGGGCAAAGTGCTTTGTGTGAGTGATATGCATGGAAGCGACATGCCTCATTCTTCAAGAGTGGGGTGGCGCACATGGTCCTGGTGCAACTGTATGCTTGTCCACCAAGACGCAGGCGCAAGTCTGTCTATATGCCTTGCCCTTTTTCCACGGGCTGGGAGCAGTGGCACCCAACAGTGTCTTCGTACTGTGACATTACGCACCTCAACCCTAGTAGCGCTCGTGCAAACCAGTCCTGTGCCTCCAGCCTCAACGCTTAGGCCACACAATCTAGTTGAAGTACTGTTTTGAGTACAACCTCGAGCCTGCATAGCCATGTAAAGAAGGAAAGTCCGAGGAACTGCGACAATCGATCGAAACAGCCGGACAGAAAGTTTCTAACCCTTGAATGCGTCGCGCAAGCTCGAGAGCGGGGCAGTGCAGAAACACGGATTCATGTGGCTTGACCACATTGCAGCATCGTGATTCATGTGACATCATCTTTCGGGCATCTTGCTTCGAGCCTTCCATGAGTGCAATTCACGACTTCTGCTTCCATAGCTGGCAAAGATTGAAGCCAAGGCTTCCACTCGAAGGGTGGCACCCGTTTGGCCTCAGACCCCAAAAGCTCTCATCATATCCATGAATCCATGCAGGGCACAAAAGCTCTGAATCGGGCGAGGCCCCAAAGACAAGTTTAGAAGCCCATCGTAGCCTTTCAGGTTGACCGCAACATGAGCTCAAACACCATGTTGCCAAGCAGTAATCATTCACTGCATCAAGAAGAGCATCCAACCCTCTGGGTATATCTTGTCGCCAGGAAGAAATGCCTGAGGACGTCAAGCATTTTCGAAGAAACACCGCTTTTGCTCCGTCTCACTTCCCATGACCATGCGCCTACATCAGAAGTCCTAAATTATTCCACCATGGTTTCGAAGTAAAGCAGTCGGCGGAGCACTGGGAGCCTGCTGGATGGGCAGTAAACACACGAACACGCCGAAAAACTGAGGCAGGGACTCGACCGAGGAGCTCATTTGCTTGCGGCCTCAGTTTGCAGAGACATCCATGGCAAATTCACCATGAATTGCAAAGGAGTGCACTGGGTCGGGCGTTGACCATCAGCCCCAAGGCCTCAGCAACTCAAAAGTCCAGGACACAAGTAGCGTGCAGCTGCGTGCTGAAGAGGCACCTTGAGGGTCAAGACCGAACACTTGCAGGACCAGTGCATCGCCAGGGCTGTATCCTTGCAGCTTCAAGCACAGGCATCGCTGACAAGCAGAAAGATTGGATGCTACTTCCGGCATCTGCACCTGGAACGGTTCGGCTGCATCGCCACCTAGACAGCGCTGCTCTTGTCTCGAGAGAGGTTGTGCGTTCTGGCACGGAACTCGGGGGCACGCTCCGGGTTGAGGCCTTCTGCCAAGTCCTGAGGCGCGAGTGGCCCAACGCATTGATGTCGAGCTTCGCGAAGCACAAAGCAGGCAGGAGAAGTGGAATGATCTGGGGCGGGCACTGTGGAGACCGAGGACTCCCGCTTCTGCGGTATCTCACATGTACAGTACCTCGTCTAAACTTACACCTTTTTCATGCTCAAATCTTAGAACGAAGAAGGTCGGAAAAGCTTGCAGGACACGTGCAGATCCGTCTTGCTGAGCTTGTCAGGCCTGAGCATGTCAGGCCGTCTCCGAGCATCGCACTGAGGTCTGAAGCTGAGCAACGGACCAAAGCCTCCGATCATCCTGACTTTCAGCTTGAGAGAAGCCGATGAGAGCTCCACCTTCGCCGACAGCACAGGCTGAAGCCGTGTATTAGACGCGTCACGGCACGCCCTGCTGATCCCTGCTGCATGGCCTCCGGAAAGAGAGAAATTGGATGTGCCTGTTGACGTGCTCGCACCAAGGCTTCCACCTGCAGGTCTTCTACAAAAATGTTCCGTCTTCTCAAAATTGGGTCAGTATCTCGAACTGGCCTGCGTCTGAGTAACAGTGATCCAAGCGGGAGCAACCAAATTCCTGGCTCGGAAGCCCCACAGCTTTGCAAAAAGTTGAGGCACAACGGGGCCTGCCACCACAAGCCCGCACCCAATCGCGTTCCTCTAGACTCAGTGGCCTGGGTTCTGCATTGCACTTCGGCCAGGTCCAGGTCTAACTGGGCATGAACCCGACCACGCCCAACCCCGAGTGGAGTACATCTTGGTGTTCTCGTCCACATTCGCAAGCCACCGGCGCGCATGCTCGGCCATCTGCACCTTGGCATTGCAACTGCTGAATGCACGTCCTAGTGTTTGGGAGGACGTGGTCGGCATGTGCGGATCCAATATGGTTCCGACTTCTCTGGAAAGTCTTGCAGCTTCTGCCAAGCACTTCTTCTCTTCTTCTTTTGCCTGCTCTGGCACTCACTAGTCGGAGGCAACTGGAGCTCAGCCCTGCGTCCATCATAGGCCTGCTCAAGCTGGAAATTGAGGTGATAGTGCCTTGCGAACATGTTCGGAACCGCGCTGAGGCATGCTGTAAGCCAGCATCTTCTGCGACGTACAAGCGATTCACGAGTTGGGCTTGAAGAATACGTCGAGCTCCAAAGTTCCACCTCACAATGCGACTCAACATAGTTGGGGGCCGTCTCCATGCAGCTCGAAGAAATAAATTGGGTTCTCACTGCCACCTTGCTCGAGCCGCTCGACCTTTCTGGATGCAGCTGTTTCGGGCACTGCCAAAAGGGGGCAGTGCTGCATGAGCTCTCAACCAGCCGACACCACTCGTTAGGCTGAAGGCTACCTGAGCGTGACACGCGTGACGAAGACGAGCGAAGAGGGCGACAACAAAACTTGGGGCCAGACCAATATTGACGGATGCCTTCCCGAGACCTGGAAGGAAAAGTACTGATCGGCCGTCAGGCTCTCAGCACACACTTGGACCCACACTGTCGTCTCTGACAACATTGGCGTTCATGGCCTGGCCAGGGATTGCAACTCCCCCCCCCCGACCCCTGCAGCCACCGCTTCGCTTCACAAGCCTCCAGATCGATCGTGGAGACGCCTTCTTTGACTTGAAAAGTGAAGAGGTTTCCCTCCTGGCACCGCTTGCAGCCACTCTAAGGTATGCAAGGGTGCTTTGGAATGCTAGATCAGCCAGGTGTGGTCTCCCGCCAATCAGGGTTCAAGCTGTTGTTGATTGCCGGAGTCCTCGTGCAGGAACTCATCGCAGATTCAGTACAAGCCATGAGGCCATGACCAAAATCCCCGTCGCAGGTCCTACGAGTGACTTCTCCCACCTTCACAACAACATAGGGATCCGACCTCACTAAGCAGACAAAGAACAGCCATGCAGCCAGGCCAAGCTTGCTCGCAGTTCCTGCTCCTCGTCATTCATAACTGTCCAACGAGCGCTCACACACAGCATCTGCACGACTTTGCTCGGGTTGAGACGACTGCCGGTGTGGTCGGCACAAGCCCAGCCACTTCATGGCGTTTGACAAGCCACTAAGTGACCCTGACCGATGGCAGAACTGCACCCCCCAATAAGGCTTGGGGTTCTCAAAAAAGGCGCCGCCTCGTGCCAATCAATTGGCACCGTTACGGCAGCAAGAGGTACATTTACGTGTGTTGGGCGTAGAAAAGCAAGTTCTGCCCTTCGCTTCATGCTTGAACCTTCTCTGGGACTTTGTCCACTACAGCCGCCTCAGGACCTTCAAGTTCTGGTGCGCCTTGGTCGAGCGTCTGACGCAGAACGACTACTTCATCCTGCTCATCCACGTCGCAGATGATGCATTCTCCTTCGACGGTGGGCTCGTAGAGGAAGGATTCTGCCAGCTTGTCGTCCAGAAGCCGCATGATCGCTCGCCTCAGTGGTCGAGCTCCATACACGGGATCATAACCCTCATCAACGACCTTGGTCTTGAACCGATCTGTCAAGGAGAGAGTAATGCCCCGTTCCTGGCATCGCTTGAAAGTCTTTCTGAACTCCAGCTCGGCAATCTCGCGCACTTCCTGCTTGTTGAGGGACTTGAAGACGATGATCTCATCCAACCGGTTCAAAAACTCCGGTCTGAAGAAACCTTTCAGCTGATCATGCACCTTGGTCTTGAGCCTCTGGTAGAGCGATGTACCGGGATCGTCTGCACCAGCATCGAAGCCCAGACCCTGGCCAATGAGCGTCTTCTCAATCTCCTTGGCTCCACAATTAGAGGTAAGGATGATCAGCGTGTTCTTGAAGGACACCACACGGCCCTTGGAATCGGTCAAATGGCCGTCCTCGAGGACCTGCAACATCAGGTTAAAGACGTCCGGGTGCGCCTTCTCAACTTCATCAAAGAGAACCAGGCTGTACGGTTTCCTTCGAACTGCGTCTGTCAACTGGCTCTCTTCATCGTACCCAACGTATCCGGGAGGACTCCCGATCAGCTTCGCCACAGTATGCTTCTCCATGAACTCGCTCATATCCAAGCGCACCATGGAGTCTTCCATACCGAAATACGCTTCGGCCAAGGCCTTGCAAAGCTCCGTCTTCCCGACGCCGGTTGGGCCACAGAAGATAAAGGATGCGATTGGCCTCTTGGGATTTTGCAGCCCTGCACGTGCACGGCGCACAGCCTTGGCGATAGCTATGACAGCCTCCTCTTGGCCAATCACACGCTTGTGCAGCGTATCCTCCAGGTGAACCAGTCGCACGGACTCATCGGCAGTTACCTTCTCCACCGGAACCTTTGTCCAGGCAGATACCACAGCCGCCACGTCATTCTCGGTAACCGTGGGCTTTGACAGTGCTTCTTCAATGTCCTCCTCGCTCAAGGGTGGAAGCTCAACCTCCTTCTCAGCATCCTTCGCAGACTCTTGGTCAGATTCCTTTACAGCTTCGCTCACCGTGTCTGGTTGTGGAGAGTCTGCCTGTGAGTTTTTGATCACCTGGTAGATTTGGCACTGCAGCTTCTCTTCCTCCATCTTTAACTCACTGGCTTTTTTGAAGTCCTGCGCCCGGACTGCCGCCTCTTTTGCTGCCTCCACGTCTCTCAACTTGGAGCGGATCTCCATGGCTTCCTCAGGCACGGTGGCGAGCTGCCGAAGCTGCACTCGCGCGCCCGTCTCGTCCAGGATGTCAATTGCTTTGTCTGGGAGGAACCTGTCTTGGACATACTGAGACGCGTACTTGACGCAAGCCTCAATAGCCTCCTCAGAGTAGCGGAGCCGATGGTGTGCCTCGTATTTTCGGGCAAGGCCACGAAGGATTTGGACAGCTTGCTCGACAGTGGGCTCTGGGACGTCAACGGGCTGGAAGCGGCGCTCCAAAGCTTTGTCCTTTGTCACATACTTTCGATACTCCTCGATGGTCGTGGCACCAATGATCTGCATGTCTCCTCGCGCAAGTGCTGGTTTCAGAATGTTGGCGGCGTCCATCGCGCCACCATCACCACCACCGCCGGCACCAACCAGGGTGTGGATCTCGTCGATCATCAAGATGATGTTCGGATCGTCACAGGTTTCTTGAATTATGTTCTTCAGGCGCTCCTCAAACTCTCCACGGTATTTTGCGCCAGAAAGCAATGCCCCCATATCTAGCTCAATGATGATCTTATCCGCCAACATTTCAGGCACGTCCCCGGCGACGATTCGCATGGCGAGGCCCTCTGCGATGGCTGTCTTTCCCACACCGGGCTCCCCAATCAGCACGGGATTGTTTTTGGATCTCCGCGCTAAGATTTGGATTGCGCGATCGATTTCCTCGTCGCGACCCACCAGGGGATCCATCAGACCCTCTGCTGCTGCCTGCACAGAAGGAGGCTGAGACTGAGCATTTCTTACCTAGAGGCCCTACCGTAGAGTCACATGGCGAAGAGAATGTGAAAGCCCGTGCCTGAGTCAGGTTCTTCCCAAATTCCTCCAAGGCCTTGGTGGTCTTCTTTGGCAGGCCGTCCCCCCCGCCCACCGACACCTCACTAGCCTCGTCCAGCTTCTGCAATTCAGTCTTCACCTCTTTGATCAGCTCTTGTGGGTCCATCTTCAAGATGTCTTCTGCCGGACATTCGTCGGGGCTCGCCAGCAGGGCTGTGAAGATGTGACTGGGGTCGACAGCCGATGCCCCAAGCTTCTTGGAATCATCCACTGCGGTTTGCAAGATCTTTTTGCATGCTGGGGAAAAGGGAATATCAGAAGGCACCTGGCCGTCACCCTGCCCAAGTAGCTCGGCCACTCGCTGGGAGGCAGCTTCAATGTCAATACCGAGCCTCTTCACGACAGCCTCCACGACGCCCTTTCCCTGCTTCATGATTCCAACAAGGAGAATCTCCGTTCCGAGCTGGCTTTGACCAAGCCGCCTGCAGTGCTGCTGAGAGGACATGACGGACCTCAAAGCATTCTCGTTGAACCTCTCGAAGAGCATCTTCATGGAAGCCGTAGAGGAAGCAGAGCGTGTTGGAGCCGCTGTCACCGAGCCAGCCATAGTGGCTCCAAGGAATGCAGAGCCACTGGATGAGAGGCTGGAGCTGAAGCTGGAGCTCATGGGCCCAGCAGGTGCACCTGTACCCGCTGCACCCTGCACGGCCTTCACGCTCTTCCGTGTGCTGCGCTTCGGGAAAATCCAGCTCAGCTGGCAAACCAGGGCGGACATTGCGGCTGCGGCAGTCCGCGCAGCCGTTTGACCCGAGCTTGGAGGATCCTGGCCATCCAAAAGTGGAGGTGTGTTGAGATTGGTGTTCAAACTGGGTTTTGGAGTAGCGCGTGCCAACGGGCCAATGACAAATCCGTTCGCGACTGGCACAGCGGAGGCCGCCAAAGCAGCAAGACCCATGCGTCGCATGCGTCGCCTGCGAGCCCCGTCTGAGCCTGCTCCCACCGGCTTTGAAAAACACGCCATTTCTGCCAAGCTTTCTCTCAAAAAACCTGCTTGGTCTAGCTACTCCGACTTGGGCCAAAGCGAACAAATCACAACAAAGTCAAGTTTACGTGCTGATGCAACACAGCTAAACACTCTCAAAACTCACGCACGGTCTGTCACGAGGGCTCGACACATCGCCCATAACCTCGGCTGGCTTGGAGCTGCCGATGCTGCAATGTTGCCCTGTGACATGCAGGCACGGCTCGAAACTGGGGCCCCGTCGCCCGAATCCCTGTTGAGCAAGTTTCTGCCACAGTTGATGCGTAGGTGAATCCTCCAGGCAGCCCGAAGACTGTGGTGCGAAGGTGCTGAAGCAGGCGACTCAGCACCAGGCACGCTCGTCTGCTCCGTCGCCAAGATGCGGTACCTCATGCCGTATGCAGCACAGGAATTGATCACATGACAGCTTCAACAAAGCATTCTGACAAGCCACCTCCCACAACGTGAAACATCCTCCGCCGATCCAAGCCGTTCCGAGTTTCCAGGTTGTGTGGTGACGATTCAGAAAATGCAGGTGGGGACAGGAGCGCACTCTGTCGGCTTGAAGAAGAGATCGAACCTCCATGGAATCTCCATGGAATGGAGCATCTTGTGCTAGGCAGCGCTTCAAGGCCCGGGCACCAGCTCTCCGGCGCCCATCTTCTCGCGGAAGCTGGTCCACATTCCCTCGATATGCCAAAAGGCCAGGCGGGTACGGCCAGGCTTGAGAAAGAGCGCCGGACATGCTGAATGGAGCGGAGGTCCAGCTCGCAGCTGCCCAAGAGGCTGTCTTTGAAGGTGTTCGAATCCATCACCTCCGCAGTTAAGCATTACAGTTCCTTGGTGCAGGTGACGAAGCATTTCCAGCTCCTTCAGTTCGACAATGTGATCATCCGCTGAAATGTCGAAGGTGAACAGATTACCTTCCTGCCAAAGTCTGAAGTCTGCGAGTCTGCGCTCGTAACTTTGCTTTTGCATCTGGTCCTCCCAGACTGGGTTCAAGTTGTTCATGATGACGGGTGTCTTCTGCTCCACCCCAGCAGCCCGGACGATAACATAGGGATCGGATCTCGGTCGCTCAACAGGAAGTGCCGGACTGAACACCTTTGCAGACATGGCAACAGGGCATGCCCAGGCCAGGGCACATCTCCGAAGAAGCCAGTGTCTCGGTTTGGGAGGTCGAAGGCCTGATTCACACCTCAACCCGAGAATGAGGCAATAAACAGTTTGGCTGGTCGACATCGCGAGCAGAGGACGGATCTGTAGAACCTGGGACTGCAGCACTTCGAGTTCCAAACTTGACCCGACATTCCCAGCCCAAACACGCGAAATGTGCAGAGGCTACCAGAGCCCGGCACGCTCTTGTCAGCTTCCTTCACTTCACCAGGGGGTTGCCTCTGGGAGGCGCCGACGGTGCACGATGCCCTTGAAGCGCACAGCAAATCCCTGCCCTGCGCCTGTCACTTGCCGCCGTGGCCGCGATCTCAGGGACGACCTTGCAGAACCGGAGCAGAACTTGCAATCACACCAACACTCCGACCGCCATTCGGAAGCCTGTGGCTTCCCAGCCTGGAACCCATCACGGGCAAACTGTGGCAGTGTCTGGTGTGGCGCATG